TTTAATTTTTTTGAGTTATTCTCAATGAAATTTGAATTTTGTTTTAAGCTTTTAGCTTTAATATTTGAAGAAGATAATTAAAAAAAAAAATTCTTTGTACAATATTATAATATTTTTTTATTATAGTTTTTTTTTAATATGCTTAAAAAGATTTTTTGTTTAAGTACATTTTTTGTTAAATATTTTTCAGTTCATTAATTTTTTCTTAAAATTATTTAATTTTTTATAATTTTATTGCATTTTTTATTTATTTTCATTAAGCTTATAGACCTTGTTTCAGTTTAGCTTCTTATAAATTCGATATGCACAAAGTTTGCTTTGCCCGGTGTCACCCAAGAATCCATAAACTAAATTTTGAAATTTTTCGATTTTAAGCTTTAAAATTTTTAATTGGCTGAAAAATTTAAATTATATTCATGGAAAATTTCACAGCTCTGTACTAAATAAAAAAGCTCTTGAGGCCAATAAGGGTTTTGAAAATTTAAAATTAATAAAAAAAATTTACATATAAAATGAAATAGAACAATAGAAAAAATTTTGAATGCTTCTTTATCGCTAACCACATTAAACTTTTTTGGTTTGGTAAAATTTTAGTGCTTTTATAATTGAAAAACTTTTAGGAATTTTCAAACCAAAGTAAACCATTTTGGAGCTTACATTTTTCGGAGAACTTCATGTTGTAAACGCGAAATATTAAAATTTTGAAAGCTTCTTGATCATTTTTAGCATAAAGAATTCAAATTTGGTAAACAATTAACGCCATCACAAAAACATTTGACACAATCTTGCCTATGTTTTTTAATTTTAGTTGGCGTATCTTTTGTATGGAATAAAAAAAATATCTTAAAAACACAGCAGCTTTTCGAAGCTCAGATTTTTTGAAAAAATAGAAGTCGTGTTCATTTTAAAAAATGCTAATATTTGAAAGCTTCTCGTAAAGAGATTACTGCTCTGAAGTCTTGCTTGTGATTTTAAATGAAACATATGAGCTTTCATGCAAAACTAAAATATAAATAGATTGAAAGCTTTTAAATCTTGTTAGAGCCTTTAGATTCCAATATACAAAAGATCTTTCGAGGTAAAGCCAAAAGGAAAAAGCTCTTTGAAGCTTATATTTAAACTTCTTGAGCTTATAAAAATTATGTTATATTAAAATTAAACTTCCTGAATGCCACCGATATGCCGCTTTTAGTGCAATTGTGCTTTTAAAGTACCATTTGAAAAAAGTTTTTTTTTATATTTTTTTTTAATATAGGAGGCACTGTAAGCTGTATGTATTATTTTTTTTTCTATTTACTGTTAGAAATGTTTATTATAATTGTATAGATTTGCCATTAAAAAGTGTGCAAATATATTATATTTATTTGGTTGTATTATTTTTATTTGTATATTTATTTTTTTTTATAATTCAGAGGCGCGAGCACAGATTAGAAACCAACAAAATCAGTTTCTTCTTCATTATTACTTAAACGTTTAATTAAATTTATATGTGATTATGTATGTACGAGTATGGATGTCTGTAAATATATGTAAGTACATATATAAGTTGAGTAATAACTCAGCAGGTGTGTGTGCGAATATTTTTCGCTATACTGTCTTTAAAGCGGGCTGAGTTTTTGAAAAAAAAAATTGCAAAATTTATATTTCTTAAAGGAAACTAATTCATTTTTGCATATTTTGCTTTTAGCTTATTTTTTGCATACTTAAATATTAAATCCTTAATTATTGTTGAGCCTGAAGTGTTTTTTATTTTGACATTTTTTGCTGATTTTTCACTGCATAAATATTTAAATTTCATATATTTTCATGTATAAGTTTTTATTTCTCTTTAATAATAATCATTATTGCTCTAAAAATGCACTACTTTTAATATAATTTTCACTTAATACACATATATGTATGTATAGCTGTGTATACGTGCGTGTATATATGTTTCATGTATGTTTCCTAAATATCTTTATAATTCTTATTTTACTTAATTTTTTTCTTCAATTTCATTTATTTTTTATCTAAATTTTTTTTTTTCGAAAATGATAATTTTTTCTCAGTTTAGTTCCTAAAAATTCAATTTCTTTAATTTGCGTATAATTTTGCCTAAAAATTTAAATTTAGCATAATTTTCTGTTGCAGTACATTCTTACTACTTTGATGACAACAAGGCAACAAAGTTTTTTAATAAGAAAAAAATTGAAAAAAAAAAAATTTGGTGAAGAATTGGAAAAAAATGGAAAACAAACTTGAAAGCTTCCGCTTTTAAAATAAAGCATTCTCAAAGCTTAATGTAAAATTTTGTATTATAATGAGCTTTCAATAAAAGTTTCTGGAAGCTTTTTTAGCTTTCTCACTATTGCTTTCAATTCTTTCTCTTGATATGCAGCTGCTCTAGAGCTTTTGAGAGCTTATATTTCTACACAACTTTCGCGATTTTTCGCAACCGTATTGAGGGCCTTTTATTGTATATATATTTTTTTTAAATAAATAAATAAGTACATGTATACGAGTACTAAAAATTAATAGAGAAGTAAACGAAATGAAATAATTGTAAAGGATTTTGTGTATGTATACGTGTTTGTGTTGTTGCTTTGCAATTTTTTTTGTTTTATTCCCTAACTATGCTTTCAGTAAGGGTCATTTTTAATTTATGTAGAAATTTTGTTAGAAATCATACTTTCTTCTATTCTTTAACTCAGCATTGTTGCCGAGCTTTCTTGAAAATACTTGTCTGTTTTACAGAAAAACTAAAAAGTGCTTAATATTGGAAGCTTTCTTAGTTCTTTCAAAAGGTAGCGCATAATTTATGTGTTCTTTAGGAAATGTATAAGCAAAATTTTTCAGTACTACGTTGTGGTGAAAGCTTTCAAAACGAAATTTGCTCTATTTAATGTAATCTACCAAGAGGGCTTCACAAGTTTTGTGGCGCTAATTTTTTTAAGCTTTCAGACATACTTTTCCTGAACGCTAACAATTCATTTATATATGCAAATTTTCCATCAGCAAAATGACAAATGTTTTTGAAGCACAATTTTTGGAAGCTTTCACAAAAAAGTTTTTCCAAAAGTCTTTCTTTTTAGCAAATATGTATTGAATGCTTATGTATGTGTATGTGAGTGTGAATGCATGAGTATTTGGTGTATGTGTAATGATATTTGATTGCGTGCATACACAATGAATTTGATAACAAATGAGCTTTCAATGATTTCCTTTGCTTACATGAATGAAATGAGAAAATGAAATGAAAATGATTTTTTTTCTTGCAAATAAAACTAAAAATAAAAACAAAATTTTTTTTGTATTGTTTTCATTCATAATGATTTCTTTTATTTTTCGTTCATTTAATTTTTAAATCATTTAACTTTTCACTCAAATAACAATTGCTTAAACTTAATCGTATTTTGTTGGTTTTATTTTTGTTTAAATGTTTAATTATTAAAATAATTAAAATTACAAATTCATCGTGGCGGCGATTATTGGTGTGTTGTTATGTATATACATATATGTATATAGATATATATGTATATAGCACATAGTTGGGTATGTGTGCAAGGTGCGGAAAGTATATATTTCTTGGTTGGTGTGTGAGTGTGTGTGTGGCTAGGGTGGTGTGGAATTTTGAATTAATATTTTTTTTATTAAAAATTAGCACATACTTTAACACAAATAACGAGATTATGATTTATATACCATTTACACAAATTTTGTTTTTGTTTTACTTATTTTTCTTTTTTATAAATTTGTAAACATTTATAGTTTTACTTACTTTTTTTTTAATTTAAGTTTTATATTATTTTAATTTTAGTAAACATAATGTAATATAAACAAACTTTAAGTATAAAATATAAGTGAAAGTAAATACATAAAAAATAAATGAAATATTGAAAATACATAAGAGTAGCATTAGAAAATATTTTCACTTCTAATTTTTGCCAAAAAGAATTTGCTGCTTGAAAAACGTGATTTCGGCGCACATAACAGTTTTTTTTTGTGTATGTTTTAACATTAAAATTTCTAAAAACAAATTCAAAACACAAATTAATTTTATGGAATGTTTTCGCATGCACAAACATATTCCGTAGCACAAAAACAAAAAAAAAATGCGCCTTAATATTTATTGTTATCAAAGCCTATTTCGCTGAGCTTTCTTACACTTTGTATCAAAAAAAAAAAAAAAAATTAAATAAAAATTTTGTGCACAAAATAAATCTACTAGCCAAGAACTAATTTAAATTCTTTAATATGCTTAATTTTGAGATCTTTCCGTCACGACTCGTTCGCATTTAAAGCATTCGAAGCAATTATTCGCCAATAATCAAATGTTTGTTTGTTTGTTTGTTAAAGATTTTAAGCTTTCTCTCGCCTGTGGGGTGGCCGAGTGAGCTTTCACTTGTCAAACATGTTAGCTTTTGAAAAGCTCTTAAATTTTGTGTTAAGCATTTTTTGCTTCTCACTACGCACCGAATATTATTTTTAATTTATTTTATATAATTAATTTTATTTATGACTACATATTTATGACTAATTTATTTGTTTATAAGTTTTGCCTAAACGTTTAATTTTGCATAAAAAGGCCGAAAATCACAATTTTGGTTTTTCATTTATAAATATTTATTTGCTTATTCATTTATTTGAATATATGTATATAATTATTATTTTTTTTAATTTTTCCGTATTAGGGTACCTAAATTTTGCATTGCCGGGTCGCCTAAAATTTCAATTTAATTATACACTTTTTAATTCACTTTTCATCAGTGAGTGTATGTATGTGTGTGTATTTGGTGCATATTTTGCATTAAGTCTACTTTTTATCGCATTAATATCGAATTTTAAAAATTTTTTAAACATCACATTTTCGCTTTTCTCATTAATTATTATTAAATTTTTTTTTTATTAATTACTTTTTCTTTTTATATAAATTTAATACTGTCTAAAAAATTTGAAAAATTAAAATTATTAGGAAAAATATAGATTTAAATATCCTAAAAAAACAGAAAAATTGGAGAAATTAAATTAACAGTTCTAATTACGCTAAATTTATTTTAATTTTCTTTTTTAATTCTCATTTTTTTTAAATTTTTTTTTTAACACTATCACAGCCAAATTGTTTATCCAAAAAGTTGTTGCCGAAAGGGGGTTTCATGCGTGTTTAGTTGACTTTTTTTTTGCCTCAGTAGTTTTGTTTTTTTCCACTACTTTTTCTTTTGAATTTAGAATTTTGAATTTTGCCTAAGGTTACTTCATGTATGTATGTATGTTTGTTAAATTACTAAGAGTGCAATTTGTTGCGAAAGCAAAATTAAACAAAAAATCTTTACAAACGTGTAGAGCTTTAAAAAGTTGTTTTTTTAATTATTTATGGCGCGTTAAAAAAAAAATATACATATATATCAATCATTGTCGCGTTGGTGGATCAATGGCGCTGCATGGGTTGACTTATAATTATTTAATTTTTATATAATTAAATTTTCTTTTTGCAATCGCTTGTTTTAAGTTTATCATCCTTACACACACTTTTTCCCTCTAGTTCGCTTATTTTATTATTATTATGCTTTTAATACAATACAAAAAATTTTGAGATCTTTTTAACACATTTTTAATCCTTAACGGTTGATTAACGCCAATGAGACAGCAACGCCTCAAACTGTTATGAGCGCCGAAAAAACGAAAGGAAATGTTGTCAACTTAATTAAAATAAAGTTTTTTTTTTAATTTTGTGTGATCGAAAGCTTTACTACGAAAATTACGTAAGATTTTTTTTACAAAAGTTGTGAAAGCTTTTAAAAACAATAATGAATTTAAATGAAAAGTTTTCTAGAATCTTCGCTGTTAAAAACATTTCAAACAAATTTCATTAGTTGAGGTGAATACAGATTTACGTTTCGAACTTTATGAGATGAGCTCAGTTTGAGAAATAAGTAACATAATAAGCTTTCAATGTATAGACTTTCGTTAGGAAAAAACCACGGGAAAATTATTTAGTTCAAAATATAAGCGTTTAAAATTTGTATCTGCTGAGCTCAGCTTTGGCAAAACCCCCACTGAAAGCTTGTTAAGTAGTTTCTTTAAGCTCTTAGGAACATACACATTTTTAAATGTTTTCCTTTAGAGCTTTCCCAAAGCTCTTTAAAAAGCTTAAGGAGTAATTTTTATATATCTTTGCTTTTAAAAGTAATTGTTTAATTAAACAATATAAACAATATAATTTGAAAATTTTATTCTAATATTCTTTTGTAAAGCTTATTTGCAAAGTTGAAAAGAAATTTTTGTATTTCAAAAAGTTTTAATAAATTGTGAAAAACTCTAAAGGATATGGTTCACCTAAATTACTTTTTCACCTTAAGGTAAATCATTTTATTGTGCAATGAATACAATTTTAGCAAGAATTTTCAAAAGTTTAAAAATGGTTTGAGGAGCTTTCGTCTATAGATTTTATATATTTAGTCAATTTCATGCAAAAATAACCGATTACTTTTAATTCACCAAGAACATTTTAAAAATAAATTTATTAATATCGCTTGAGCTTTTTCGGGTTATTTTTGAACATTGGCAATATATTAAAAGTGCTTTAAAAGCTCTTCGAGGGCCAAGCTAGCATAATTGATTCTTAAATAACGCATCTTCCGCTTTATAGTCCAATAGCACAAAATATTTGTGGTGATGTTTTCAAAGCTTTTTAGGTGCGAATTTTTTAAATCAGTTAAATCATAAATTAAAGCTCTAGAAAATTTGAAAAAAAAAAATAGATTTATAATAAAATCTTCCTTGAAGATTTGCATTACATTTTCCTTAATTTTTGGAGTTTTCTTGGGGCGTAGCTGATTTTGAAAGCTCTTTCAAGTCAAAGCTCTAGTCTCAAAGTTTTCTCGCGCTCTTTAAATAGTGACAATAAAAAACAAGCAGTTATGTTTTTAAAGCTTTTTAGGTGTAAAGATTTCAATAACGTTAAAGTATCAATTTCGAAAACTTCTCTTCCATGCAATTTTACAGTAGTAAAGCTTTTGAACTTTTCAAAAAAAAAAAAAAAATATATATATATATATATATAAAAGTTTTTAGGTGAAAAAGACCTAATATTTTTTTTTTTAAATTTAATCAATTAACTAATAATTTTTTCTTTTTCAAACAGCTTTCCTTTTAAAACCTTTAAGCCCTCAATACAAATTTGTTGAAGTTACGTTGAAAATATAATATTATATGAGCAGTTTGAATATTATTTACTTTTTTGTTTTGCTTTTTACTTTTCATAAGAGCGGCAAAAGGAGTCATCGTAGTCACTGATGGCAGGGGTTCCTAAATATATACATATGTGTATATATGTAAATTACAACGTTAGGCCTAGGTATGTATTGTGCAAGACTCATATATGTATGTGTTTATTAATGTATATATGGTAAGTATGTATGTTTGTATTTTTGCAGTTATCGAAAGTGCAATATTTTTCGGTTTGCCTAAAAGTGTTCTTTTTTCTGGTCTAAAGTTTTCTCACTAAGTTTTTTTTTTTGCACAAATTTTTACTTATGCTTAAGTTGTCAATATATTTTTTTTTTGTTTTTTAATAATTTTCGCTTTTACCTAAATCGATAAATTTTGTATACACTTATACAATTTTAAATGTATAAGTTTTTTTTTTAATTTTTTGTTTTGTTTTTGTTTTTGTTTTAATATGTCTGCTTGTGTTAACTTTTTGTCTCACTACCTTATAAAAGATGCCTTACATAAATTACATAGGTATATATGTATGTATGTATGCATGTAAATATTATGCCTTTGTTATATAACTTTTACAAGGTTAATTTTATACAATTTTTTTTTAGTATACATATATATAATATATATATGTAAATGGTTAAGAGAACGAAATAACGTAAGTAGATAAGACGAAAATCAAAGATTTTTTCATATACATACATATATATATATATGGGTGTTAATAGAAAAAGTTGAAGAAAAAGGTATATTTTGCTTATATATTTAACATATATAATACATATATAGATGTAATTAAACATTCAAAAGAAGAATAAAAACAAAGTGCAAATCTTTTCTTGAACTTAAATATACGCCAAAGTGCCGAAAAACATTTTTGTTGTTTATAAATTAACTAATATTAATATTAATGTTTGTTGTTGCTTGATGTCTAACGTTGCCAAAAGTTTTCTCAACAGAAAGTGGCCTAAAAAATGTGCTTAAGCGGAAGTGTCTTGTTTGTGGCTGTGTGTGTGTGTGTGTGTGTGTGTGTGTGTGTTAGTAAGGGTATTAAGTTCATTTACAGCTTTATATATATGTATGTTCATACAAATGTGCATATACATACTATGTATTTGTATATATGTAACTAAATTTGCCTGTACTCGCGTTCGCTTGTCTCGCCTGTGTAAGATGTGCTATTTCATCTTAAAATTCCAAAATTAAAATATTTTTTTAGGCTCTAAGTAGAAAAAAAAATTAAAAAAAGATTTCACGCATGCGCGCCTTTGTGTTCTACTTTTGTTTTAACATTATTTGTATGTATGTACTAATACACTTTAACTGTGTTATTATAATATTATTTAATATTTTTTCATGCCTCTCTAAATTTATCATGCTCTCCCTTATATGTCTATTTTACTATTTTTTGCATTTTTATTAATTTACGTTTTAACACACTTTTAATTATTTTCATTTTAATTTATATTTTTTGTTATCTCCTCATTTTTCTCTCGATTATTGATTAGTATTTTTTACAATTAAATTGTTTTCTTCGGTTTAATATTTTTTATATGTATGTATTTTTTATAAATATCGTTAAGATCACAGATATTCTCTATGCAACAAATTATCGGTTTGCTCTTATCTAACTTTTTCCTTCATTTGTTCTAACCTTCCCTCTTTTAATATTTTATTTTGCTCTCTGTCCGCTGCTTTTTTTACTTTAATTTTGTCACGCTCAAAAATTTTTCGCGGCTCCTACTTTTCTGCCAGCTCAAAATTGTTTTTTTGTCAGTGTCCCTTTCTCCATGTTCCGCGCCCTTTTTAAATTTTTTTCTATATCTTTTTCTTCAAAAACATTTTATAGTTTTTTTTTGTTCCTTTCCTGTCATAATTTGTAACTTTATCGTCCTTTTTCTTAGTAAATTTTAGGCTCTGCTAAATAATAAAATCATATAATAGAGCTTTCAATGTTTTTTTGCTTCAAATTTACTCATTAAATTTTTACACTAACCGCAATTTTCTTCAGCTAAAATGAAAGCAAAATTTCGCATAAAATATGAAAGCTCAATTCATTTGTGAAAGCTTAGTCGAAAAATGAAAGCGCTTTAGGAGGTTTGATTTAGAGAAGATCAGCAAAAAATTTAGTAGAGTGAATAAATTTTGTATTAAAAGCTTGGAAGGCGTATGTTCATAAAATCTGTTTTTAAGCTCTGGCACTAAAAAATGAAATGCTCTAAAAGCATTTTTTTTTTAAATTAAAGTTGAAATGTTGAAATAGGGAAAATATTTAAAAGTTTGATGTTTTAAAGCTTATTATGGATAATTACAAAACTTAATACAATTTGTTCAAGGAGATTTTTAAAAAGCAAAGTTCGAATCCCGTAAGTTTTTCGAGAATAGAACTTTTTATAAATGAAGAACTAAAAAGCCAGTAAAATTTATTTTAATTAAAAAACGCCTTTCATGTATTTCAAATCCAACTTAAAAGCTTTTGCACTAAAAAACAGAAAGCTTTTATAAAAGCTTTAAAACTCTAAACAAAAGCCTTGTTATATTATGAACGTAAAGTTCAGTTTATTGAATTAGTTTGAGCTTTGTTTTAGAAATTAAGAAGATAATTAGAGCTTTTTAAAGTTGTAGAAGTTGCCTTGAAGAGCTATTATTTACAATTTTTTTAAATAATAAGTAAGAAAAACTTTATGCTATTAACACTCTGGAGGAAAAATATTTTTTAAATGAAAGCTTTAAAAGCCTTTCTATATAAAGCTTAGTAAAACTCACTTGAAAACTCCTGAAGCGCCGCTAGGAAATTGTATAAACGAAAAAGGACGTTGGGGCGTAAAAAACAACTACAAATGTTCTTGTATGTAAATAAGCCCGTGTAAAAAAATAAAATTTTGCATGTGTGAGCTTTATATATAATAATATATACTATTAACGGCAAAATTGACGTTTGTACTCTTAACTATTTAACTGCCTTTACGTGTTCTATTGAAATGTTGGTATTTGTTCTATTTTATTATTGTGTTTTATATAAGTTTGTAGTTTTATTAGCACCAATTGTTTATTCTATTGTAATTGTATGTGAGTTGTTGTATGATTTTTTATTAACTATTTGTCATTGTTTTTGTATTTACTGTCGCGTGAAAATAACAAAATGAAGTTTCAAAAGCGGAAAAGAGCTTTCACCTGACATAAAATAAGCTTTCATTAACACACGTTCATGCATTTTTATGCGGTAGAACTTTAAACGAGCTCTTGAACAGAATTTTTCAAAAACTTATGGCCACATAAGTGGTTTGTTGTGTGTTTTCATACATAATTATTTGTTTATTTTTTTTTAATTAAAAAAATGGATCACATGAGATCTTGCCAACGCTGAGGGTTCTGCGTCGCATTTTAAAACGGTTAATTGTGAACAAACAAAAAATTATATTTTGGTATATTATATATAAATATGTAACAAAAAGCACGTTATTTTTGTGATTACGCAAAGTTGAAAGTAAGCAAAATTCAATCAAGAAATTCGTCATGAATATATTTGGAGCGCCTAAAACTGTGCTACATTTCACAAAATTTGGTCCTCATGCACTTTAGTTTAGCTTTACGAGCGGCTTCTAGCGCTTTTGAGCTTTTCTTTCATTTTGCTTTCTTACATTCTCTTCTAAACACTTCTCTGCTTCGCCTTGGTTATATGTATGTCTCTGTCTCGGCTCATACACTTTCGCTCTACTAATTGTCATTCTTGTCATTTTTTTCGAGTTTTCTTTTATTTCTCACTCAGGGCCCTACAATAAAACACACTCTGTACACAATTCCTATTCGTAAAAAAAAAATGCTAATGTCTTGAAAGTTATGCATTAACGCTCAGCGTTTCTCTGCATACTTTCGCCATTTCGTCACTTTTTTCTCGCTCTGCCTATTTCTATAACTAATTTTTACACTTTTTTCGCTTCCCTCTTGTGTTTTTAGCTTTCTTACAACTATTTTTAATATTTTAATATATATGTATGTATGTATGTATATATGGTATATATTATATGTGGGTGTGTATATATAAGCTTTCATATTATATACTTCTGTATATGTATATACATATATTTGTGTGTGTGTATTGCATTGTATATATGTATATATAATGACATATTTAACTTATTTAGTTAAGCTTTTCTCTACTCTCACTTTCTCTTCAGCGCTTAGTTACTTAATCATATGTATATATGTTTGTATATACATGTATATAACGGTAAGTGTATTTATTATGTGCATCCAACTATAACGGAAACTGTATTTTCTGCATTGAGTGTGTGTCTGTCTCTCTTGCACTCTCTTTATGTATTACATATTCTATATGTATATATACATATGTTACAAATATGTATGTATATTGTATTTGTATATAAGATAAGTATATAATTGCTGCTGTTTGTATGCTCTGGCAGACTTTTAGATTTCCTTTTGGTTTCACATTTTTCTTCCTCTTCTTCTTGTTCTTCATGTTTTAAACGATTTGTTTAACAAATAATTGAGCTGAGTTGCGGCTCAGCTTTGTCGGGTTTTGCGCTCCGTGAAGGCCGTAGGCGTTCGGGTACAAAATTCTTTCTCGTCATGTGGTTTGTCATCGTCTTCGTGTTGGGTTTCTCCGCCATTTTGTATTGAATATTTCGCCATTTCGTGATCGTGATCTTAGTTATTTATATATGTATGCATGTAGGTTTAGAGCCTCGTAGAACTCGTTTTACGCTCTTCTCTCTCTTCCTATGAGCACTCTCTTGCCACCTTTACCGCTCACTTATTTGCTTTTACTCTCCCTCTCCCTCTGCCTCTCTCTCTCTCTCTCTAGCTGTATCGCTGTATCGCTTACGGAACTAGATCACGATCGCTCATCGTCAGTTATAGTAGTTATAATTATTATTATCCTGTATGTTGTAGTTGTAGTAGTAATAATAATAATAATAGTTTAGTAGCAAACTAAAGTCGCTTCACTATTGCGGTAGTTCATCCTTTGTGTCGACAGGGCTTGGTGAGAGAAATTTGCGTACATATTTGGGAAAATGGGTTTTCTCATGCGCCTTAAGTATGGTTGAACGTGAGAAAGTCTTCCCGCACATGTGACAACGGAAAGGTCGTTCGCCTGCATACATGACATTTATTAATATTTTTTTTTTCGATGTTTGTCGACGTGATCATCGCGTGGTGGAGAGGCGGAACGTTGAAGAGAAAGAGTTTGTGTTAAAAAAAATATCTTTCAAAATTTATGGTGTGCTTAATATTGAGGGAGAACCTGGAGCTGACACGGTGGAAGAGTGAGACAAACATGGTGAGAGACAGTTTCAATAAGAAGAAAAAAAGTGAGAGAGAGCGCATAAAGACGCATTGTCTCTTTAAGGCCAAATTGAGAATTTCTGGATCAAAAGGGTATTAAGATACCAGTTTTCGAAATGAAAATAATTTTTGGTTTAACAAGCTGCGCTCCACGGATTTGAATAAGAAGAAAGTTTGAGGACAGCAACTCTCACGACAGCCGGAAAGGAAGGAACCTTCGCCCTTGGCAAGATTTGAATTACGACTTAGTTGTTCAAAGGAACCTGTTTTGGGCGAATGTTGGAATAATGACATTCAATGGATGGATGAAAATCTGGGTCGTTCTGATATAATGCCATGGCAGTAGTATGAAGTTTTGGACTTAAGACGCCTGTTACGATAGGCATGCCTTACTGCAAGTACAATATTTTCATGAACGTCTATGTAGTTTTCAGGAGTTGTCAAATGAACTTCGTGTACATAGTTTAAATGTATTTTTGATAAAAGAGTGGGTATTTCCTGGAAATTATCAGAAAAACTTGATCTTCTGCATTCAGAGCCAAGGATTTGCTGTAATACCAGTAGGTTTTCTCCGAAAAAGTGTTTCGACTCTGATCTACATATATCAATTACGGGGACTGAAACTTCGCGAGATGCCCTAACCTCAGTCTATTGTTGTTCCTTTATTTTTGTTTCTCTCTCTCTCTCCCCCGTTCTTGTCTTCAACTCCTTTATTTACTACTCTTCCTGTTTCATCTCCAATTTCTCTCCCAAACTTCGCATTAAGGCACCCAAATGCAGCTTTTATCATAACTTAATCTATGTACTTACCCGTATGTACGCGACAATGGTCCTTCATATGATGGCGCAACTTGAACGCCTTACCACAGAATTCGCATTTGAATGGCCGCTCACCCGTATGCACCGGCAGGTGTGTAATCAACGATGTGACATCGGGAAAACTCTTCCCACAGAATTTGCACAGCACAACACTATTCGGATCGGCGCAACCCGATGTGGCGCCCAACAGCGAGCTGGACGACGAAGATGTCGCCGCTAATGCCGCAGCTGCTGCTGCCGCCGCCGCCGCTGCCGATGTTGACGAAGAGGACGAACTAGGACCGCCACTTAGTATTAAACCGCCGCCACTACCCGCCGGTGAACCGCCAATGCCGCCATTACCAGATGCCGAACCGCCAATACCACCATGACCGGATCTAACACCACCAGCACCACCACTACCACCACCGCCGCCACCACCGCAACCGCTGCCGTCGAGATCGAGTGTGCCACGTGTGCCCACACCGCCACAAGTAGCCGCTAAAGCAGCGGCAAAATCCAATTCCATAGCGGCAGCCACAACCGCGGCTGTTACTTGTTGTTGTTCCTGAGTATCAGCGCCGCTAGCCGCTAGTGCGCTCATTTGGTATGTGGTAAATTGTGGCAATTGCGCCAAATTGAGGTCATGCGATAGCAGGTGTGAATGCAGCAGCGGATGCTGTGCCGTCTCACGATACTCCAGCGTTTTTAGCGAATGCGAGAGTATGTGTCGCGTTAGCTTACTTTGGTGCTGGAATGTCTGGCCGCAATACATGCAGGGATAAAGGGTAGGCGGTGTTTGCGATTGATCGAGATGATGGTGGGCGCTGGATGCGGCCGAGGCAGCTATGGCAGCAGCAGCGGCGGCGGCGGCCGCTGAAGTGGAGCAAGAGATCGTGCTACCACCGCCACCACCACCGCCAGCGCTAGTCGAGCCAATACCACCGCCACCACCACAACGGCCGCCATCGCTGGCAGTGGTCGCGTGGGGCGAATCGGACGTTTCCTGGAACAACACCAAACAAAAATCCAACATCAACTTCTTTTCGTATAACGCTTTTGCGTTTTTTTTCTGTTTTTCTTTTGTTTTTTGTTTTGTTTTATATATTGTGCTCTAACTTTTTTTATTTTTGTTTGCTTTTCTTTTGTTTACGTTACGTTTTCGCTTTGTTCGGTTTCAATTGTATTTGCACTTCAAACCAAAAAAAAAAAAAAAAAAAAAAACAAGGAACAACTCTTTATGAGGATTAAGTGGGAAAAAATCATATATATATAGATATATATATATATGTATATATATATAGTACTCAATTGCCTTTCTTCGTTTTCTTTGTCCTTGAGAAAATTAGAATTAGATGAAAATAATACAAAAAATTTTTTCTATATATTTCATTCATATTTTAAGCGAAATATTTGTTTTTTTTTTCTGAAATCAAAGTGAAAATGAAAAGTACAAAAAATTTTAATTTAATACTTTGCTGTATTGAAAACGAGACGAAATTATAAAATATATATATATGTTTTGAAAAAAGAGACACTTTTTTAACTCTTTCTATCGCTCTCTCTCTCTTTCTCTCTAAAAGTGGAATTAAGTGCGCGCATGCGCGGTGCGCATTCTTCGAATTTATAACTGAAAGCGTCAAATTAAATATTGAAATTTAAAATTCAAATGAATTAAATGAGAATGAGAACTCAAAGAGGGAAAGGAGAAGATGGAAAATTTTTTAGCAATATTTTCAAACTAATTGGGACGCATAAAATGTTACAATTTTAAAAATTTTCAAAAAATTAATAATAAAATAAAATTTTAGACTATTTTTAATGACGTACTAAAATACTTTTTTAAAATATATATATATATACTTTTCTTTTTAACAAAACTACTAATATTCTCTGGATTTTTGTAATTTTTTTTTATAAATTTTAATAATATTTTTTTTTTTTTTTCAAAACAAATGTTATTAAAAAACAAGAGGGGCTTTTCAGCGTTGTTGTGAGAGCGCTCGGCACTAAAATGAGCCTTTTTGAAATATTTATTTGACTAATTTATATACTCTCTTTCTCTCATTCTCTCTCTCTCTCTCTGTTTCCGCTGCGTCAAGCGGCATGTGTGTGATCGTGCCAAAGTTATCGCTCGTTTTTTTTTTTTTTAAATTTTCCTTTTGTAATTTCGTTGTTGAAAACGAATAACTTTTTACTAAAATTGTTTGCTTCTATTTCTACTGCTCTTTTTTCGTTTTGTATATCAATTGAGATATATTTTATTTGCTGTTGTTTATGTAATATATTTTTTTTTTGCAAGAAGTTGAATTTCGATTTTTGTTTGGGCGTTGTTCGAAAAGTCACATTTTCATATTTTAATAATTAATATCTTATAACCATTATAATTAAAAATATGTATTTTTGTTTTATTTTATTTTTTATTTTTAGAAATAATTTTTAAATATTAATATCGAAAAAAAAAAATTGTTCCGTCAAAAAAGTATAAAAAATGGCGGTAGTGGCGCTTAAACGTTAAAAATTTGCTTTCAAAAAAACAATTGATCAACCGTTTTCGTACCGTTGTAGCGAGACGCGAACGAAATTCGTTAATTTCGAGTGATTTTTTCGGTTTTCTTTCGTATCTTTAATGATATGTGTACATAATTTGTTTTTGATAAAACTAAATTACAACAACAATAAAGTAAAAAAATGTATTATTTATGAACAATTTTCTTGTTTTTTTTTAATTTTTTTTTTGCAAATTCTGTTTAATTTTTTCCTTCGATCAGGGTTTTCAAGAACATGAAAAAGAGTGTTTTGTGTGTGGCGGGAACACATTTATGTTAGAGTTACAAAAAAACTCAACTGCTGTTTTTTTTTCTTTTTTTTTTTTAAATTTTGAACAGTAAGGTCAGTTGTCGCTGAGTAGGGCAGCATTCTGTCCGTAAATAGTTGTTTGCTAAAATGTTGTAAAGTGTTTATTAAAAGCCAATAATTTTGATAAATTTGAAATTTTGAATAAATTACATGTACTTAAAATAAATATTTATTATTGTTTTTCTTTTACCAAATATGTTGGGTATAAATTTCTTTTTCCAAAAAAAAAAAAAAAATATTTTCATAAAAAAGTTGTGCAAAATTTTGTTTAGTAAAATTTTGATAATCAGCCGTTGTGGTATTTCATGTTACGGCGCAAATTTTTTGTACTTTGAATTTTGAAATTGTTGTGCGTTTGTATTTTGTGTGGTTTTTTCATGTGTTTTTATTTTTCTAGCTTTTAGTTTTCTTTTCTTGGAATTCTTATGTACCAAATTTTGTACTCTAGTACATTTTTTTTTAGCAATTTTTATTGTTTTCTTTTTTATTTTTTTTTTATATAAAATTTGTATGCATTTGTTTGTGTTTTTTCATTTTAATTGGTTATTTTTTTTAAAAAAAATTACTAAGAAAATTTTAAATAAAATTAAATTTTCCTTTATTAGATATCCAAAATTTTGCTTTGTCTTAATATTTTCAAGAAGTTTTTCCACTTTATTTTATTAAAAATATAATTCCTTTTTTGTAATATTTTTTTTGGTATTTGTTCTGTTTTTTTTTCGTGAATTTCTTTTTATTTTCTTTAAGCTGTCTTTTTTATTTTCTTTAAGCTGGGGCACACTGCCGCACTCTTTTTCCATTGTTTCTTGTTACAAAATAGCTTTATTCAAAGCTCTTTTTGTGTTTTTTTTTGCAACTTGAGCTTTTATTATTTTTAATTGTTTAATAAATATATTATTTAAATATTAATTGCAATAAATATGTGTTCAATAAATATGTAAATAGCACAGCCATTTCCAAAAAACGTAGATCAACTTCTTGACAATAATATAAAAATAATACATATATATATATATGTTTAGATATGTAAATTAATTTTGTTTTTCTGTTTTTAATTCACTAACTTTTTTAAACCTTTCTTTTCTCTAATTGTGCATTCTCTGATTCGTATATTGGATATTTTTTGAGTCGAAATTTGAAAATTTTTGAATAAATATGTTGGTTTGTGTTGTTGTTGGAATGTAAAATCGGCTAATTTGTGCTTTTGTGGCTAGACCGAAGCAGTTTTCTCAAATTCAAGTAACATTTAGCTACAGTCTGCAGTGACCATGAAAGCTCTTGAAAGCTATGTTTAGTATTTTGAAATTTATTAAATTTATTATATCTTGAAGCTAAACTTGGGTTGAGTAACGTGTGATTCCAGCAGGGCAGTGTAAGACCACAAACGAGGTAATATTATACCACTTTATTTTTTAATTGTGGAAATTCAATTCCTTTGAGCTTCCAGTAAGTGTTTGGGCACATAAAGTATTGACTTACTTTCAAGCAGCAGTGTTTTATATGCAAACAATAGCAATTCACTACTCAGTGAAATCTAACTTCAAAGCTCGCACGAGCTTACGCGAAATCACACGTTGACATTATTTCATATGTTCAAAAAAAAAATTGACGATTGAGTGAAAGTTCAAAATTGTCTCCAAAGCTCGCGTGAAAGCTTACTCGGAATTTGCCGAGGTTATTTATACGCTCAATTTAATAAATAAATCTGCAGCATGGTATCAAAATTAATAGCTTGGTCAGCAGCTTTACCTTCGCCGGTAATTAAAATTTATGCACGTATAAAAGCTCTGAAATTTCTAATCCCTTTACACCAACAAACGTACAATCAGTGTTAGGTAGTTGTAGTTCAACTAATTTTATATGAGAAAGTTTTTCGAACGCGTTCACCAAATTCGAAATAAAACGATTTCTACCGCCAATTTCTTTAATCAAAAATTCCTTTTTTATTTATCTCTACGACCAATGCATTATTAATTCTTTTCATTTATTTTTTTTCTTTGTTTTTTTTTTTTTGTTTTTTTTTTTTTTACTTTCAACTGTCAAATAACATTGAAACAACAACAACAATTTATGTAAAAGTACGCATATGGCATATATATTGAATTTAAATATTTAAAAAGTTACACACCAACAACAACAACGTTGAGAAAAGACATCGATCAACGAAAGAGTAAGAAAAAAAAAAAACGAAGAAAGACATTGATATGTATGTATGTAATAAACGAAATACAAATTAAAGACAATTATAAGAATTAACACGCATACATACATATGTATGTACATATGTACGCAAAAGCGAATTATGTACATACATATGTATGCAATTATACATATTTACGCTTATACGAGTACATATACATATATACTTGCAGAAAATATGTACATAGATTATATAGTAGAATTATATAGTTTAAGAAACATACGAATCACACACACATATATATATAGAGAGAATTCGAAAAAGTTGCATCCTTCGCCAAAAAAAAAACGACAACAACAACACTGCATTTGCTTTTTGATGCAATATTTTTTTATTTTCTTGTATATTTTTTCCTGCATTTTTAGTTGAATGCAAAAGAAAAAAAACAACAACGTTAACAACAAAGAATAGAAATAGTACACATTTACCATTATTATAAATATAACAGCAATTTATGTAAAAAACGTTCCACATTTAGATGACATTTATGTATGAGTAAAAGAGATAATAAATTTAATTTACTGCTAAAATAAACTCACATTTACTAAAAAATATTTTTCGATTTTGTGTTTAAATTCAAAAAAAAAAAAGTTAATGGGAAAAATTTTTACGCCAAAAAATGTGTGTGATAATATAAAAAAAACAGCCAACATTTTTTCTGTTTATAAACACTTTTTTTAATTTAAAACACCGAAAGCACTGCTTTTATACTTTGAAAAAAAAAGAAAAAATTGAAAAAATAATTTATTTCTTTTAATATGTTTATTTTGCCTTTTACTATTCCTTTCATTGTTTTTATTTACGTAGTACTGAAGTTTATACCCCTCTTGTTTTTATTTAACACTTTTTTTACTAGTAAAATTTGTTAATATAGTTTTTTTTTTAAGTAATATAAATATATTTAAAACTTGAGTAAGAAATGCAGCAGTTTATAGGAAAAGCTAGAATTAATACATAGGAATAAAAGTTGTGCTTTAATTTAGTGTATTTTTTAATTTCGGGGCTTGGAATGTATTTTTTTTTCTTAATA